CCTTGGGTTTCCGAGGCAGTATCACTACGGAAGTAGATTGCCCCATCTTCCTTCCGAGGAGTGGCTGGTGGGTTTGAACCGCCAGCCTTCTGGATCTCTGCTTAGCTAATTCTAAATCAGTGGGGAGGAAAAGAAGATAAATGGGATCAATTAGTTTTTTTAGACTTCTTTTTGGTAGATTGATAGTGACATTAATTTCTTCTGAGGTTTTTTTTTTTTTTTTTTAATATAGCATTTTATTTTCATTTGCTCTTTTCATTTGGCTTCCTCCAGTAAAAACAAGGATTAAAATGGAGAAAAACAATTCATATTTCTTCTTTTCTAGGACAGGAGTTCTCTGGCTTGGAGCACTATTTTTAATATACAGGCATACCTCGAGATATTGTGGGTTCAGCTCCAGACCGTCGCAATTAAGTGATTATAGCAATAAAGCAATAATGTTTTGTTTTCACAGTGCATATAAAAGATATATTTACTCTGGTGGCATAGTGCCTAAGGCATTTGACAGCTAACCAGCAGGCTGGTAGTTCAAACCCACCAACCATTCCTCAGAAGGAAGACTGGCCAATCTACTTCCGGAGAGATACCGCCTTGGAAACACAAGCAGGGGTCGCTGAATTGGAATGGATTCCACGACAATGAGTTTGGTTTGGTTTTGGCACTATCTGTGAAGTGCAATAAAAGGAGGTATATCTATATATTGGTGATAGCTGGCTGTTATCTGTTTATCTCTATGGCGGAGATTACAAGACTTATTTTGGTATGAGCTTGGGCAAATCACAGAATCCTGTATTCTAAGGTTTGCAAGGTTTACTAGTCCCATCTCCTTCAGTTTCCTCATCTGGATATGAGGGACTACACTACATGGTCTCAGAGCCCTTCCTTCCAACTCTGACTTTTTCTAAAGATATGCACACACTGGTCTATCAGTTGAGTAAAAATTCTGTATTAAGAATGCTTCTTGTAGAGAGTCACTATTATTTTAAAAAATCACTGCAAATGTAAATTTTGTTTAGGGCATATACTTAGGTCTGGCATTTTGATTTTTAGCAACCTCTTGTCTTTCAGCTTCCTGATGCTTAAAGCTGGCAATATGCTGGCACTGTAACATGGTTTTTCCCTTTAGTCAATAGACATTTTCTGACACTTACATCCCAGGCGCTGACTAGGCAATGAGGACATAAAATTAACATGTGATTCCTGCCCTTCATGTTCAAAGTGAATGGAGAAACTAGTGTTACTGAAACCAAGTAAAGTCAAAACTATTCCCCGACCCTGGTTAAGACAGATAATTAGAACAGATAGGACCCCGAATGGGAATAGATAAGTAAACTCAGTTACCCTCAACTATTTCCCCACCCTGGTTAAGACTAATAGGACCCCGATTTGAGATAGATGAGTAAACACATAGGGCCCCAGTTGAAGACAGATGAGTAAATACAGTAAGCTCAGTTCCTTAAGAACTGAATGGAACAAAAAACATTCTTTCCTGCTATTTCCTTAGGCACAGGTGATAAACAGGTTAATGTGTCTTAGGAAACAACTTGAAAATTAACTCTGGCCCGTGCACATGCACAGTGGGACTGAGGAACAAAGTTACCTGGAACTAACACACTCCCCCTCTGCCTAAGCCCAGATCAGCTGATCACAGGAAGCCAGTGTGACTCATCCTATATGCAAATGCACTGGATCAAAATGCTAATGTCTTTTTAAACCCAGGCAAAGGAAATTTCAACCAATCATCAACCATCTCACGCCCAAATTCCTGAAATTTTTATGAATATGTATAATCCTCTCTTCTGAAACCTACAAAACTGTAATTCAATGGAGTTTCAGGGAGTCAGATCTGGGTACCAACCCCTGCCTCCTTGCATTGCTACTTTGCAATGAATAATTTTCTCTCCTCTTAATCACGCATGTGTAAACTATTTTGGCCCAACTGCGCACCAGGTGGGGAAGGGCGTTTGGCCCTATTACATTACAAAGGTCAATTAGAAAGCCATTGTAGTCAATACTTATAAAATCACAATAGACTATTTCCTTATATTTACTATTTCATATAAATTATTTTCTCTAAGAAGTAACAAAATAAGATGGACATTATTGAAGATGTAGTGTGCCAAACTGAAAAACAAAGTAGCCGAGTTAAACACTTGTTTGATCAGAAGGAATGCAAAGTTAAGTTTCGACTTGATGACTGAATACTTCGAAATCCACATCTGAAAGAATAAGCTTTATGCACAATAAGCGCTTTAAGGGAGGGTGAGACTAGAGACGGCTCAAGTACTATAAACGTGAGCTAACCAAGGAAATCAGCCATAAAACAAATCAAGCTGTTTTAATTCATACTGATATTCAAACAACCCAGAATAGAAATTTGTACTAGTGTTTGCAAGACGCATACAGTATCCTCTGAGACCTACACGCTACAAGAAGGCCGTCAGGTTGCCCGTTTTTCTGACCAGTTGATTATTTCAATTTTAAACAATCTCCTCACGTTATAACGCCAAAGCCACAGGTCCCCTTTCTAGACCTTTCCGTCCGCAATCGTAACCCCCTGATTGCAGCTAGGGCACTGGAACGCGGTAGCGCAGACGCCAGCCTGAGGCCAAGCCAGCAAGCCCCTGCCACACACACTCTTCTCGGAGCCCTTCGAAAGAGGTGGCTACCCATTGGATCAGCGTGGCGCATGGATGGCCTGGATTGGTTTACAGTAGGGGGCGGAGAGAGGCGAGCCAGAACGTACTACCCCGCCCCTACGGTCTCCCATGATCTGCTCTGGATTATGGGAGGATGGACGAGTCCGGGAAGCTCTGGTAGCGTAGTGCCTAAGGCACTTGACTGCTAACCAGAACGCTGGCGGTTCGAGCCCTAATAGCCACTCCTGGGAAGGAAGATGAGGCAATCTACTTCCGTAGTGATACTGCCTCGGAAACCCAAGGAGGGGGCCGCTATGAGTCCGGTCCGATCGGAGGAGTCCAGGAGGAGGAAATAAGCCGGAGTGACTTTTGGGGTCCCGAGCCAGCCCTCTCGTAGTTCGCGTTTCCGCCCACCAGCCTCGCAAGTCCCGCCTCTACACAGCCCGGAGTCAGGTGACCGCCAGCGGTGTAGTCACGTGGCTAGGGCGCGCCCTCTTGTTGTGGCCATGGCGGCCGCACACTCCACAGTGGTAAAGCGAGTGGAGGAGCTTGGGGACTTGGCTCAGGCCCACATACAGCAACTTAGTGAAGCCGCCGGCGAAGACGGTGAGGGAGCGCAGGAAAGGGTGGCTGGAGGGGCAGACGGCGGTTCAGAGCTGGCGCTGTGCACCAGCCATAGGGCACAGAAGGTTGGGGCCTGTGATTTTTAGGGTTGCCATACGGAGATGCCGGAGGTCTTGTCCATCTGACCCCCGTTTCACCGTTGATTGCCCACCTCTAAGAACTTAGGTTGCATTCAGCTAAGGCATTTGCATCGAAAACCGCGTTTTTCCATAACCCTTGAAAACGGGTCACAGCTCAGTAAAATGTGTGTAACTCGGATTTACCGCTTGGTTAGCGATTGGGAAAGGGCAGAGTTGGAGTAAAGTACACAAGAAAGTGAATTGAGTGTGAGTGTTTAAAACTGAATGACAGTGCGCAAGTAATGGTTGCTTTGTGTACAATAAAGATGGTAGCATAGTGCCTAAGGCACTTGACTGCTAACCAGAAGGCTGGCGGTTCAAACCCACCAGCCACTCCTCGGAAGGAAGGTTGGGCAATCCTACTTCCGTAGTGATATAACTGCCTCGGAAACCCAAGGAAGGGTCGCTATGAGTCGGGGCCGACTCGACGGCAAACAACAACAACAACAACGAGGTGTTTATGACAGTTCCACTGTTACATTGCTGCGTTGTCAATTTCCCTTATGTATTTCGGATTCTAAAGTTGACTGTAAATGGTATTGTAAAGAAAAGTTTTACATTTGTACAATGTGGAGGATTCTTTCATACACATCATTCCTTAATTTTCACAAGAGCCCTACGAGTATTGTAATACTTAGTTTGGAAACATCTAAGAAGTTTCGTTAGGAACTTAAGAGAATTACCTCGATTCTCAGTTTAGATCCATTGTCTTTTCATTACGTCTCAGCTACTTACAGGTTCTACGTAAGGCTGTTTTTGAGTTGTGAGCCTTTATTAGCTATATGTTTTAAAGTTCTCCTAACCGACTCATTGAAGCCATTGAATAGTTGGTGAATATGCTATATGGGCGCTATGATGAAATGAGGAGCCCTGGTGGCACAGTGGTTAAAGCGCTCAGCTGCCAACCAAAAGGTTCGCCTTTCTGTGGGAGGGAGAAAGATAGCTTTGAAAACCATTCTATTGTGTCCTATAGGGTCGCTGTGAGTGAGAATGGATTACAGGGCAGTTTCCTTTTTTGGTTTATGATGAAGTGAGAGGAGCCCTGGTGGCAAAGTGGTTAAAGTGCTCGGCTGCCAATCAAAAAGTCAGTTGGAACAAAAAGGCAGTCGGAACCCAGCAGCGCTCTGGGGAAGAAAGCTGTGGCAGTCGGCTTCCCTAAAGATTTATAGCCTTGGAAGCCTTAAGGGGCAGTTCCACTTTATCCTATAGGGTCCCTATGAGTTCTGTGATGAAATGTTTGGGTTTGAGTGAAGATTCCTTGTCAGATTACTGTTTCGTTGGAATGTGTTCTTCAAAGGACCACAGACCACCCTGAAGCTGATTTCATTTTTGGTTTTGGTAAGTGAATCCCTGGATTCACAAAAGCAGTTCATGATCAAACCAAATTCATTGCCATGAGTTGCTTCCAACTCACAGGGGCCCCCATTGCATTTCTAAGGCTGTAAATCTTACAGAAGTAGATGGCCTTATCTTTGTTGGCATGGTGCATTCAAACCACTGACCTTTATGGTTAGCAGCCAACTGCCTTAATTACTGCGCCACCAGAGCTCCTTAGTTCCAGGAAGTAGTAGCTATTACCTGGAAGTGTGTCCTGGTTAACTTTAAAAAGGGTATTCTGTGCTCTCATAACTGGTTCAGTTGGTGCTGGAGTTCCCCCAGTGGAGGATGCTGTTAATCATCATTGAAATCATGTGAAACTTTAAAGTATTCCTCAGGGCCTCGGGCAGTCAGCTGCCACACCCAAGGCTGGCGGTTCATACCCACCGGCTGCTCCCCGCTAGGTAGCTGGGCCGTCTCTTAATTTTGGGGAACTCTGGTAGCATAGTGGCTAAGGCACTTGACTGCTAACCAGAAGGCTGGCGGTTCAAACCCACCAGCCACTCCTCGGAAGGAAGATGGGGCAATCTACTTCCGCAGTGATACTGCCTCGGAAACCCAAGGACGAATCGCTGTGAGTCGGGTCCGACTCGATGGCACACAACAACAACAACAGCAAAATTTTCTTACAAGTTTAATTAAAAGTTGGTTGCATGCATTTGAAGTTGACATTCTTTTCTCACACACAAAAAATAATATAGACCAAAATTTGTCATTTGTTATAACTGTATATTTATTTTAACCAAAAACGTATTGTGGTGGAGTTAATTCTGACTGTGGAGACCCCATGGTGTCAGACTAGAACTGTGCTCCATAAGGTTTTTAGTAGCTGAGTTTCTGGAAGTAGATGATCGGGCCTCTCTTTCGATGCATCTCTGGGTGGATTCAAACCGCTAACCTTTTGGTTAGCAGCTGAGGGCATTAATTTTTACCCCATGGACTTCATATATTTATTTTAGGTTATCAAGATTGGTAGTTCTTGTTGTTTTCAGACATTATTCCATCCTAGAAAGCTCACTTTTTATTTCTGGCCAATTTTTAATCATTCCTTATTGTACAATCACAATATGGTTACTATATAGAAAGATGCCATGAGAGAGGTTTTTGTCCCAGAGACATTATGTAAGATATACATCCCCTTTTTTTTTTTTCTTGGTAATTGTGATTTGGGGGACATATTGGTTTTCCATTCAACAATTCATACACAATTTTATGACATTGATTGCAGTCTCCACAACGTAACAGCACTCGTCCCACTTTTCTCCCTGTGTTTACTTTTTCCATTCATGCTTCTTTCCTATCCCTTCCTGCCTCTGTGTTTTATCCCTGGGCAAGTGCTACTCTTTTGATCTCATATAGTTGATTTTTCTTGGGAGTAAATACGTCTTTGATTTTATAGTTCAGTCTGTTGTTTGGCTGAAAGTTGGGCCACTTGGGTTTGTTCCGTTCCAGGCTTAAAGGGTATCTAAGTCACTTGACTGCTAACTAGAAGGCTGGCGGTTCAAAACCACAAACCACTCCTCTGAAGGAAGGCTGGGCAATCTACTTCCTTAGTGATACCACCTCGGAATCCCAAGGAGGGATCGCTATGAGTGGGATCCAACTCGATGGCAGTGAGTTTTTTTTTTTTTTTTTTTCGTTAAGAGCCATAGTCTCGGGGTTCTACCATTCTTTTATCAGACCAGTAAGCCTGGTCTTTTTTATGATTTTGAGTTTGGTTCCACATTTTTCTCCTGCTCTGCCCAGGTCCTTGTGTTGTGATCCCGATCAGAGCAGTTGGTTGTGGTAGCTGGGCACCATCTGGTTCTTCTGGTCAGGCCAGTAGAGGCTGTCCGTTAGTACTTTTGACAAATTGTTACCTTGAGTCTTTGATTTTCTTTACTCTTCTTTGCTGCAAATGGAGAGAGACCAGTAGTTGCCCCTTAGAGGGCCGATTGTAAGATTTTAAGACCTCAGCCACTACTAACAAAACAGAAGGTAGACATTGCCTTTGTGGATTGAGTTGATCCTGACTCATAGTGACCCTCTGGTAGCATAGTGGCTAGACACTTGCCTGCTAACCAGATGGCTGGCGGTTCAAACCCACCAGCCGCTCCTCGGAAGGAAGGTTGGGCAATCCTACTTCTGTAGTGATACTGCCTCGGAAACCCAAGGAGGGGTCGCTATGAGTCGGGGCCGACTCGATGGCACATAACAACAACAACAACAACATAGTGACCCTGTAGGACAGAGAACTTCCCCATAGGGTTTCCAAGGCTGCTGTAAACCTTTTTGGAAGCAGACTGCATCACCTTTCTCCTGTAGAGTACCTGGTGGGTTTTAGCTGCTGACCTGAAGCAGCCCAGTGTTTTCACCACAGTGCCGTCAGAGCTCCTGACAGAAGGCGTATCAGAAGTTTTAAATTCCATTTCCTCCAGGTTTGAAAGGAATGAAGTAATTTGTTCCATTTTGAGGTTTTGAAGAAATCAAATGCTAAGATGCAGTATCTAATTTTAATGATAAAAGCTGTAAACCCATCAGCTACTCCTCGAAGGAAGATTGGGCAATCTACTTTGGTAGAGATACTGCCTCAGAAACCCCAGGAGGGTTTGCTGTGATTCAGGATTGACTCAAGGGCAGTGAGTTTGGTTTGGTTTGGTTTGGTTTGGTTTGGTTTGGTAAACACAGTTATCACAGTTATAATTGCTCAGATGGGCTGACATGTTGTGGGGTGTTTGATTTGATCAATCATGTTCTTTTGGAACATATTTTACATTTATGAAATTACAAATTTTCAGTAGAAGCTCTTTCTGTAGATTTATATATTATTTGTACTATTCCAGTAAAAATTTTACAATTATTTTCAGCAATTTGAATGGGTCAGTATCATACTAGAAGCATTATGAGAATCCAGAGTACATTTTAGAAGTGGCAGAAGTGTACCTAGAAAGTTTGCAGTCTTTTGCTTTCCATGACAAAATATCCATAATAGATTTACATATCAGTGTTGGGCATTATGATACACTTCATGCTTCCCATCAGATATTCCTACGACCATGTTGCTTCTCTTTTGACCATAACATTATTTCCATCAATTCAGGAATGTAAAGATACATAGCATTTTTTGTTTAATACCACTCTGAAACTATCTGAAGTAACTGTCATATTTTTATCCCTTACAGATCACTTTTTAATTCGGGCCTCTGCAGCTCTAGAAAAATTGAAACTCCTTTGTGGAGAAGACAGAGAATGTTCAAATCCATCAAACCTTCTAGAACTTTACACACAGGTATTGAAATAGATGTAGTCCTGGCATTTTTGGGGGGGCAAACTGCTTATTTAGTTGGTTGACTCTGGGTATTTACTCATCACGAATCACTTTATTCTCTATTTAAAATATTTAAGTTTGTATAGAAAACCTGTATATGTAAAGAATATAGACTTGAAAGTTTGAAGTGGCATGGAAAGGAGTAAAATTTATTAATGTGTTGATAAGTCAGGGAAAAAAATCTTGCTGTTAAAAGAATGGCTTCCCTTTATAGACACTTATGCAAAACACTATTATGTGCAATTGTGTGTATGCAAGAAGAGTTGAAGACTCTGCTAAAAGCCCTATTTTATTTTTTCCCTGAAATTCACCTCTCCTTGGGATTGTCAGTATGATTCCACCTGCTAGTGTCACACAGAAATACATATTTTGTTCTTCTTCTTTTTTTCTTTTACTTTCCTTTCAAATTCAAGCCTCTGTTTGAACAGGACCTGTTTTAGAAACTGCTGAAGTAAACTGACATTAAGAAATACAGTGTCATTATAGTAACAACGCTTGTCTAGCACTTTAGTTGTTCAAGTGCTTACACGGGTCCTTACTCCATTATTGGACTAAATGCTAAGGGAGAGTAAAGATGAAGTAGTTATAAAAAGTGGAATAAATTTTATTAAGCTACCAAGGTACACATTTGGGCTGTGCAGCAGATGTTTGCACCACTGAGCATGCATGGCCCTATGCTTTCTGTTGGTAGGTACGTAAGATTTTGCTTTCGAATGTCATGATTGAATGAACCTATGACAACTATTCATAAGCCCCAAAGAGTTGTTATAATTTGGCTTCCTTTCCTTTCAGGAGGCCCCCTCCTCTTTTGCATGTGATGGATTCATCTCATTTCTTTTACATGGCAGTGTTCTAAATATTTTGACTTATTTCCAAGAAAAGACACAAAAACTTAAGAGATATAGATTCATATTTCGCAGGCCCCCTTGAATAGTCATTTTCTGTTCTTCTCTGGTACGGTGTCTGTTAGCGCTTGAATTTCTCCAAGATCTATATCTTGAAAAAAAGTCCACATATAAGTGGATCTGTGCAGTTCAAGTCCATGTTGTTAAAGGGTTAACTGTATATATATGAAATCCACTGCCCTAGTGTTGATTCTAGGAGCTCTGGTAGCATAGTGCCTAAGGCACTTGACTGCTAACCAGAAGGCTGGCGGTTCAAACCCACCAGCCACTCCAAGGAAGGAAGGTTGGCCAGTCTACTTCTGCAGTGATACTTCGGAAACCCAAGGAGGGTCGCTATGAGCCTGGTCTGACTCAATGGCACATAACAACAACAGTATTGATTCTGACTCATAGCAACCCTCTACAAAAAGTAGAACTGTCCCATAGGATTTCCAAGGCTGTAAATCTCTATGGAAACAGACTGCCACATCTCTCCTCCAGAACAGCTGGTGGGTTCAAACAGCTGATTTTGGTTGGCAGCTGAATGCCTTAACCACTGTGCCACCAGGTCTCATCTATCTCTATATAAAGGAGTAAAATAATTATACTTTTTATAATTGTATATAAATAATTTATAGTAACTGAATCTCCATTTTATATTTTGAGGGAAACAAGATCACCATTAATTCAGAAGTTTAGTGAAACACCTATGAAGTTATTTTATAAGGTCTATTTTGAATAATGCTTATAACTAAACATTTTAGCTATTTTTCACATTTAATTGTTTGGTGGTGGTGGTAGCTGCTGTCCAGTCTGCCCCTGGCTCACTGTGCCCTGTGTACTATAGAGCTGAATGCTGCCTAGTCCTGCACTGTCCTCATGAGTAGTTGCGGGTTGGACTGTTAAGACTCATAGAGTTTTCATTGGTTTATTTTTGGAAGTAGATCACCAGGTCTTTCTTCCTAGTCTGTCGTAGTCTAGAAGTTCTGATGAAACCTGTTTAATATCATTGCAACATGCTGGCCTCCCCTAATAGGTGGGTGTGGCTGTGCATGAGGTGTTCTGCTGAGAAATCGAACACATCTCCAACGTGGAAGGTAAGAACTCTACCACTGAACCCAGTGTCCTCCTTAAATGCATGGCACAAGTTTTAAGTGCTCTGGTAAAGCATCTGTGTATAAACTGTAAGAACTATTCTTTTGAGTTTAAATCATTTATACCTACTTTATTTCTCTGTCTTTTCAGGCTATTTTGGACATGACTTATTTTGAGGAAAACAAGCTAGTAGATGAAGATTTTCCTGAAGATTCCTCTCCACAGAAAGTAAAAGATCTAATCAGCTTTCTTTCAGAACCAGAAATTTTAGCTAAGGAAAATAATATGCTTCTAAAAGTAAGTTTTGCAATTCTTTGTTATAGTGGAATGTTGCTAATTCTTACTATAGTTCTCTTTAGAGTCTGTGTTTTTCTTCTTGATTGTATCCTTCCTTGTCTTGAATCAAGATTGAAGGAGGGCAATAAAGAGAATCTTAACATTTCAGAGCAGTGTCACAACTAAAACGTATACAGTCATGTGCTGTATAATGTGTGTCAGGCAATGTCTCACCCCATGTATGTCTGTGGTCCCAACACCCATAAAGCCTATTTTATTAAAAATTTGAGATACATATAGTGATTCATAATAACAAATGGGCGCTATTTTGCAACATGCATTAAAATATTAATACTGTTGATTATGTTAAAGATGTTTTAGTGTATTTGGAACTATTTCTTTAATGTTTTTCTTTAATGTATAGAAAGGTACACTATATACTACATAGTAAGGCAAATATGTTAGGTATAAACTGTACCTAACTGTTTCGACTTATTACAAATTCGTTTAAAGACTGATTTAGGAAAAGAACCTTTTTGCAATCCAGAGAATGACTGTATATAAAATGTCCAAATCATATAACTTCTATTTCACAGACTATATTGTGGACATTAAGTGGTGTATGACTGTATTTTATCAAGTGTGTTTCAGAATATTTGCGTAGTAGAAATTTAGTTTCAGTACCTAATCATTTTCTACACACAGAAATTCCCTTTTTATTTTTGTGAATACTATGTTCTCTTGAAAGTCATTAGTAACTTAATTACCACATTTATTGCCCTTTTTACTGTCCTTGTCCACCTGGACATTTGCTGCCTTTTTTTGTAACCATTGAGCACCCATCTGTCTGCAGTGCTACATGCTTTTCTTTCTGTCTTCATCTCTAAGGGAAAGAGGGAGAACTCTAGCTATTACTTTCTCCCTAGCAACTCTTCTCTTTGCAGTTCTGGAAACATAGGCACCGTTCAAAGTTGTCTTTTCAATCCTCTGATGGTCTCTTTTCTGTTTGCTTGACCATCTTATCGTTTTTTACTGTCATTTCTATCTAGATGATTCTAAAATTTATATCTCTAGCTCTGGATACTCTTTCAGGCAAATAATTTCTTATCTACTTTCTAACTGTCTCTACTTAAATATCATCATTGCTCGAAGTATTTGTCAGAGGTGGCTAACAGTGGAGATAATTCCCAAATTTAAATGATTCCACACAGTAAAAATTTATTTCTCGCTCACATCATAGTGCAGTGCTGGTTGGGAGTGAGGAATTGGCAGGGTTCTGCTCTGTGAAATTACTCAAGGATTGAGGCTCCTTCTGTCCTGAGGTGCCACCCTCATCTTTTCATTCTTTTTAGCCAGTGGATGATAAAGAGGGAGTGTGGAAAATTGTCTGAGGAGTATTTTTTGCCTGAATTGGAAGGTCCCCAAAACTACATTTAGGTTAAATAATTCTCACGGAGGACTCACAGGATTCGTAACTATGATTTATTATAGCAAAAGGATATCAAGCCTGGAGTCACACAGGAAAGGACGTATAGGGTGACTATGGAGGAAAGTAGGTTCAGCTTCCGAGAGCTCTCTCCTAAAGGAGTCACAGGTAACACAATTAATTCCACCAATATTTAGTTGTGACAACGTGTGTGAAATGTCACCAATTAAGGATCTCATTAGAGACTCAGGGTCCAGGAATTTTATTGGGTGCAAACTGGTTACGTCGGTACCCCTTTCTGGCATGTACCCAAATTGCAGATACACAGAAGAAAATCAAGACTTCAGCATATACCATATTGTTACAGTTTAGGCACAGTGACCCACTTTCATCGGGTAAAGGTGGAAGATTTTCCAAAATCTAGTTTCCCTGGCACCAGCCAAGGGCCAGCCCTGTAGACAAGTCTTTCTGGGGTATTCTGGTTACCTAGAGCCATTCTGACAAGAATATACCACAAATGGAATGGCCTTAACAAGCAAGTTCATTCTGTTACAGTTGAGAGGCTTTAGGTCCAGGTTCAAAGTGCCAGGCTCTAGGGGCTGTGTGAAAGCCTCTTGACCTTGGACTTCAGCTCTGCCTCCTGCTCCTGGCCCACTGAAGCTAGAGGTTTTCTTTCTTTCTTTCTCAGACAGTTACTGGCTGCTGAGGATGACAAACTCAAGGTTGACAAGCAAAAGCCACAGTCCCGATGTTAGAAACCATATGGCAGACTTTTAATTCAACTCCATTGTAAATCCCAAGGTCAGCAGAGCGTGGAAGGCTGCTGAGCAATGACACGGCTACATGCAGGGTTCAAGTGTGCCATAAGCTAGAGATCATTCCCAAAGATGTTTATTATATACGGGAAGCAGACCACATATCCAAAGGCTACTCACATACCCTCAGCTACTCACAGTAGATTTCACCGTGGAGTTGATTACCGGTCTCATCATGGAGAATACTACATCCAGCTGCCCAGCCAATCAACCAGGCCCAGCCAAGTTGACACACAAGCTTAACTACCACACAGGGATAACAGTTAAGGCCTGCTATGTTAACTCTTTTCTGTGCAGGGTCAGTTCTAGACATTGCGCCTATTACTTTTACCTATATTTTACTGGCTAAAACTAAGTCACATGCCACATTAACTGTGAGGGAGGCTGGGGAATGCTATCAAGCTTTTTGCCCTTGAGGAAAAGGAGATAGTATTTTGTGCATTGTCACTTTTCGCTCCACAAATTCTAAATGTTTAAATTTGAACTCATCTTCCTTATACTTTGCTTTACCAATGAACCAGCACATTTTTCTGATTTTATTTCTGCCAGTAGCATTGTTCTTTTAATTTTCCACACTAAAAACACTGGGTTATAGCTTTCTTAGGTTTATAGCCTGTCAGTTGCTAAGTCTTTTTTTTTTTTTTCCATGAGAAAAACTGACTTTATTTCCTGTCTCTTTTTTTTTTTTTTAACCTTTTCCTTTTTTTTAATTTTGATTTGGGTGAAGATTTACAGAGCAAATTCACTTTCCATACAGCAGTTCACATATACTTTGTCTCATGTTATTGCCACAGTTTACCACAATCAGTTGCTAAGTCTTAAGATTTTACATCTATCTGTAAAATCAACTACTTTTCATTACCACAGCTATAACCTCAAACACAGGCCTTATTTCTACCCAGTAAGACTATTATAGTAATTTTCTTACTGATATTGTAAACAGCAGTCTTTTCCTTGTCCTATGTATTAGGAGCTCTGGTAGCATAGTGCCTAAGGCACTGGACTGCTAACAGAAAGCTAGCGGTTCAAACCCACAAGCTGCTCCTCAGAAGGAAGGTTGGGCAATCTACTTCTGTAGTGATAACCGCCTCTGAAACCCAAGGAGGGGTCGCTATGAGTTGGGTCCGACTCAACGGCACATAACAACAACAATATATTATATTGCTAGGTCAGTTTGTCTTAAAGGACCATGTGAATCTCAAAAATTTTTTCTACTTTCCTATTATGAATTTCATTACATATAGAATCTTTACCCTGGCACTGCCTGATCTCCTATTACTCCTCTACACATTACGGAATTTTTTTCCCTGGCCCCCTTTGCCACTGTGGAGCAGTGCTTGAGCTTGCTAATCACTGTGCTCAAGCACCTGAGATACAGTGCCCCTCAAAGCATAGTTAAGGTGCTGGATTCGGCTCTTATATCCTCCGTCCCCAACCAGACTAGGGTTGCTATGAGTCGCAGACAACTCAGTGACACCTAACAACAACAACAAACCAGACTGGTCAGCATTAGAAGGGTACTTTTGTATGGTAGTAACTTAGAACGAGCATGAAAATGCCTGGGCTCTGAATGGTATCTCCCAAGTCCTACTACTTCAAAATAAGAAATAAGTGAAGCAAATTAGAGTGATCTTATAATTTCATATATTTTTATTCCAAAAGGTCATCATTTCAGAAGAAAGTTAAGCAATATGAATCAAGAACTTGGAATACAGGCAAAATTTTTATTACAACAAATGCTCTTCAAAAGAGTTAGCCTAAGGAACTAATTTGAGATGTGTCCAAAAGTGCTCATGTGAAGATGGTCATAGCAATATGCCATGAAATTGAGTGATTGGAAATTACCTTTATATCCAAGATGGAAAATATATCAATGTATTACAGTATATATATAAGATAGAATAATGTGAAACCACTGGGAATGTTTAAAGTAAAGTTTCTTAACTTTGGAAAGTTTGATATATAGCTAAATAAAAACCAGGCTGTAAATTCATATGTAAAGTATAGTACTGCCTGTGTTTTAAAAATTAAAGTGATACAGGTGAGATCGTGGCAAGTTACTTAACCTATTTATGATTACAGCAAGGTTGCTGTTTTATTAATTTTAAAGAAATAGAACTTGGGCTTGTGAGCAGAAGCTTTGTTTATTTACTGCTACACTCCCCTCAGGAGCTCTGGTAGCATAGTGCCTAAGGTACTTCACTGCTAACCAGAAGGCTGGCAGTTCAAACCCATCAGCCACTTCTTGGAAAGAAGGTTGGGCAATCTACTTCTGTAGTGATACTGCCTTGGAAACCCAAGGAGGGGTCGCTATGAGTGGGGTCCGACTTAATGGCAAATAACAACAACAACAACACTCTACTCAGTGCCTGAGGCATTTGACTGCTAACCAGAAGGCTGGTGGTTGAAACCCACCAGCTTGAACCACCAGCTACTCCTCAGAAGGAAGATTGGGCAATCTACTTCTGTAGAGATACCACTGCAGAAGCCCAATGAGGGGTCACTATGAGTCGAATCGACTTGATGGCAGTGAGTTTGTTTTTTGTTTTGTTTGTTTAAATACTCCCCTCAGGATCATACTTTGCCAGATATGCAGTCCTTACTGTTTGTTGACTGAGTAAATGAATATTTAAAATTACTATGATTTATTGTATTTCTTGTGTATAATTTTTCATTATTTTATCTCAGTAGTGGTAGAAATAGGTATGATCTGCTTCAAGTAACATATTTCTGAAAAGTTACCTTTTTACTCAGATTGTGTACTGCTTAGGAGCTCTGGTAGCATAGTGCCTAAGGCACTTGACTGCTAACCAGAAGGCTGGCAGTTCAAACCCACCAGCCACTCCTCAGAAGAAAGGTTGG